GTATGAACAATAAAATTATTTAAAATTACTTAAATAAAAAATGTTATTTAAGTCTTTAAATGAAAGCATAGAAATTAAAAATAATACAATTACGGTGGGTGCAAATGTAAAAATAAAAAATAATAATAATTTAACGAATACAATGAAATAAATAAGAAATTATCATTTTCATATATTTTTTTCTTTTCTGGAACAAATATAATTTTAAAAATTTTAAAAATAAATCTTTCTTTTATAAATATTTTATATATTTTTCAACCCACATTCCTCTGACACTCTTCTATTTCTTTTGAACCCTTTTTGATACTCATTCACTCACCTCCACCACCCCTAACGCATCCCCACCAAACCCAACACCGTAGACAATTCAAATCGAAGCCACTAACATCAGCTAAAACACCTTTCTTGACGACCTACAATCTGTTCCACACCCTCATTGACCACCACTACAAATGTCTCTCCCATCCTCCGCTCATTCATTCGCCACTCCAAACACCTCTCTTACTCATTTTCACAATTCTCTTATAGTTTACTTTTTGACTTTTTACGAAAAAACGTAAAATATGAATTAAATTTAAAATGATATGATAGAGAGATGATATGAATTAAATAAAACAATTATAACTTAAATAAAATAATGTGCTAAAATAATATGTTCTATCTCAGCACATGCCTCTATTTTATCAATTTATACTTTTTTTTAGCTCTAAAATAATGGCCAAACTAGGGCTTCCTCGCTTTTCTTTTTCTCTTGTATTTCTCTCTCTCTCTCTCTCTCTCTCTCTCTCTCTCTCCATTTTGTTCATCATCATTTCTCTCAGTCTTCTGTCCTTTCTTTTTCTATATCTAACCTTTTCTCTTGGCTTTTCCTTTTTATTTTGTTTTCGTTTTATTTTATTTTAAAAAATATTATAACTATTAATATATAAATTCAGTTTTTATAAAATTACTATAGTTGAAAAGATGACGTTAAACTAACATGAGATGGATGGTTAAAATTAGTATGAACAATAAAATTATTTAAAATTACTTAAATAAAAAATATTATTTAAGTCTTTAAATGAAAGCATAGAAATTAAAAATAATACAATTACGGTGGGTGCAAATGTAAAAATAAAAAATAATAATAATTTAACGAATACAATGAAATAAATAAGAAATTATCATTTTCATATATTTTTTTCTTTTCTGGAACAAATATAATTTTAAAAATTTTAAAAATAAATCTTTCTTTTATAAATATTTTATATATTTTTCAACCCACATTCCTCTGACACTCTTCTATTTCTTTTGAACCCTTTTTGATACTCATTCACTCACCTCCACCACCCCTAACGCATCCCCACCAAACCCAACACCGTAGACAATTCAAATCGAAGCCACTAACATCAGCTAAAACACCTTTCTTGACGACCTACAATCTGTTCCACACCCTCATTGACCACCACTACAAATGTCTCTCCCATCCTCCGCTCATTCCTTCGCCACTCCAAACACCTCTCTTACTCATTTTCACAATTCTCTTACCCTTCTCATCTACCCCAACCTCTTCCCACAACACCCAACAACTTAATCAAACCAAACCCTAGCCTCCGAAACACCTTAAACCCTTCTAGCTCCTCCTCGCGGCCCTATGCTCCCTTCGTTTGCTATTGTAAAAACTAGTAGAGTGTAGGTCTAACTTGTGCAAAGTGCAAGTTAAAAACTATGCAACAAGAATTGGTGAGGGAGAGATAAGAATGGGTAAGAAAGGGACAATGATGGCCAAAATTGTAGGGAGAGTCATAGAAGAGTGTTAGTGTGGGTAGAGATGCGGTGAGAGTAGTGATGGAGAGTAGATGAAGTGGAAGAAGTGACAAATAAGATGGATTGGGACGGTCTATTACAATATGCACAACTTGGACTTACACCCTACACATATGGAACTTGTACCCTACAGACATTGGATTTGCACCCAGCTAGTTTTATTAGCAAAGAAGTGAAGAGGTGTAAGGTAGCGACAATGAGGGACTTGAGGGCTTTGAGGGGTTTTGGTGGCTTAGGGTTTGGGTTATTTAGGGTGTTAGGTGGGAGGAAGGGGTTATAGTGGAGGAGAAAAGTATGGAAAGGATGGTGGGGGTGGCGAGAATTGGTGAGAGAGAGCTTTGAAAGGCAATAGAGGAATTTGAATGGCTGAAGAAGGTGAATGATGGGTTAGGGATCATTAGGGAGTGGCGGCAAGTAACAGAAATTAGAGGCTGGCAGTCAGCATTGGTGGTTGGAATTGCAAAGGTGAAAGAAAGAAAGAAAGAAATGGTGTTTCAGGTGATATTAGTTGCCAGAGTTTCAGTCATCTATGATGTTGGGTTAAGTGAGGATGGGTTGCGGGTGGCGGTCTTAAAAAAGCAAAAAAAATTATATAAAAATGATTAATTATTTATTTTATTTTATTTAATCGCTAAATGACATATGATAGTGTCAAATAGGTAGGAATATGTCATTTCGAAAACCATGCAAATATGTAAGGAGCACTTTCCCGACCAACACAAAAATTTTAATTTTACCCTATTAATTTGTTCAGTAAATCAAAGTTGAATGAAACTTTTTCAAAGAACCAAAACCAAGATGATGAGGAGAAAAAGAAGAGAAGTATTTTAATCGCTAAATGACATATGATAGTGTCGAATAGGTAGGAATATGTCATTTCAAAAACCATGCAAATATGTAAGGAGCACTTTCCCGACCAACACAAAAATTTTAATTTTACCCTATTAATTTGTTCAGTAAATCAAAGTTGAATGAAACTTTTTCAAAGAACCAAAACCAAGATGATGAGGAGAAAAAGAAGAGAAGGGAAAGGGTCGTTAATTTTTACCTAAACCTTTGCTTAAAGATTTCGTACTTTGATAATTATTTTTATTTTTTTACCAATATTGTAATTACTGAAACTTTTTTAGTGGTGTCGAATACCATTGGGATGTTATTTTTCCTTAAATATTAGGCTTAATTACAGATGATTTTATGGGTCATACTTATTTATCAATAGATCTTGCTCTAATTTTTAATGAAAGAAAATACTTATACTGTTGAATTTAACGGTATAAATTCGAAGTCAAAGGCCAACAAGAAACTCAAAGGTGGAAAGATGTATATAGGGGATAACTGGTTTCGAATCCCTTACACATACAGCTTCCCATTCAAGCTTGGAGGAAGAATTCAGATGATTATCGGGTGCAACTTCATTCGGGCAATGTACGGAGGAGTACGCATTGAAGGAGACAATGTTACATTCTACATGAATGTAATAACCATCCAAACCCGCCAATCAGTGAATTTCTTGGAGGAGCTTGAAGAAGAGGAGGATTTTACAGTGGATCATTACTATGAGCCTTCAACAGAATGGCTATTTCATTCCACTCATATTAGTCCTCATTTTGAGCAACAATTTGAAGAATTGATGATACAGCTCAAAACTTGTGGAATCATAGGTGAAGACCCTATGAGATACTGGTCGCACAATCAGATTACCTGCAAGCTGGACTTGAAAAATCCTGATTTCACAATCAATGATCGACCAATGAAGCACATAACTCCAGCAATGAAGGACAGCTTCAATTCAAATTCAGTCCTTAGAATCCCATCTCATGAAGACATCATCAAATTTTCCAAGAGATTGTGGAATAATAAATAGAGCTCCAGTCTGTTGCATTGCTGAAGGTAGATTCCACATTTCATTGTTTGTTCCTCGTCGGAAATTGGATCTTATTCCTGTATAAGAAGGTCTTTCAGGAATATTAATCGAAGGACCCTGTCCTGTTGCTGGTGGGTAACCTGGGGGACCCATCATTGAATCCTGTGGAGGATTGTAGTGGGAAGTTACGGCTGATGATGAGGATAGAAGATAATGAGGCTGATTCTGCTTCTGCTGTCGTCTTTCGATCAGAGCCTTTATCTTTGCAATTTGCGGGTACTCCGTCTCCGCTTCTCTATCTACTTCTTCCATCATAGCAATTATGTTGAGGGTTGAGTCAGATACAAAAATATTTTTAAAAAATAAAATTCAACTACTTATATTTTTTCACATTTTTCAATTTAAATTAACATGAATAAATTAAAATTCACAAACAAAAATTAAAATTTATCATTTTAATAAATTTCTCAATATCTTTATGAGTATCAAATAATAATTTTACAAACACAACATACATTTAAAAAATCTTAATTTTTTTTAATATCAAAATAAAAGACAAATATGTAAAAAATATTTGTAAAATAATAATATTAAATTGTACCAGCTCCTAAAAATGTTAAAGATTCTAAATAAATTATCAAATTTCTTTTAAATTTCATTCTTGCAAATGTACTCCCCACTTAACACGTTAGATATAATACTCTGTAGAGATCAATATGCATAGTGTCTAGTATCCATGGTTCATAGCTAGGACTATTAGCGTATATCTAATCTCATTCACTCCCCTAACCTTTGTAATTCATTTGGGGCATGTTTGATCGGATGGATTAGAGCATGGGATTGAGATTATTAATCCGTGGGTCTAATTATCCTATGCTTGTTTTAACATTTTGATTTAGGATTATTAATCCAATGGATAATTAATCCAGCAAATTTGTAGAATTATTAGTAATGGGATAGGGGTGAGATTATTAATCCAATGGATAATTTATCATATTAAATTCAATTAGATAGTGAATACCATACTAATTTGATAGGATTATTAATACCTCATTATTAGTGTTGTGAATCAAACATGGCCTTAGGGTATATTTGGTTTAATGATTTAAGAAGAAATTTGAAAAGGAAAAAGATGTTATTCACATTTTACAATCATTTTTTTTTTCTTTTCAAATATCTTTTTAAATTTTTGAAACAAGCATAACCTTAAAAGTGGGTATACTATTCAACAATTCATTTGAGATCTCTGAAATTATTGGTCAGGCCCATTACATGTTGGGCCGAAATTGGCTTTCAACAAATAAATTTTAGCTACTAAAGTACTGGATCACTCCTATGCTTGCTTAAGTACCCAACATGTTCCTATTTTCCCGACAACCAAACAGAGTTGTGAAGTAAACACACTCTAGCAAATCAAAATCCATTAGCTTGCTTTCCTTGAATTCGATTTCATTATCAAATCCCACAGGCAAAAGATGTCGCTGATCCAAGCATCTTAACCGACGAGGCACCATATTCGATTCCTTCTCTCTAGACTTCCCTTTCCCTCAACTTTCTCGGGAAAATTCGGCATTCGCGAGCACTCGCGTGGACTGAAAGGAAACACCAGAAGCTCAATGTTCAAGGCCGATCTTCCTGGTCTGAAGGAGGAGGAAGTGAAGGTCGAGATCGAGGAGGACGATAGGGTTTTGCAGATCAGCAGTGAGAGGGATTTCGAGGAGGAGAAGAACGATTCTTGGCACCGCGTCCAGCGCAGCTCTGGCAGGTTCACGAGGCGGTTCCGGCTGCCGGAAAATACGAAAATGTATGAGGTCAAGGCATCAATGGAGAACGGAATACTTACCGTTACAGTTCCCAAGGAGGTTAGGAATCCTGATGTTAAATTCATTGAAATCTCTGGTTAAAATTAAGATTAAGAGGAATGCTAGGACGTAAATAATTTATCAAATGTTTTATTAAATCTCACAAATGAGTGTGGGATTTAGACATGTGGATTTGTGTATGGGATTTAGACATGTGGATTTGTGTATGGCATTATCAAGGTGAGAGATTTGGTAAATAGATTATTTGAAATTTCTAATATTATTTTAAAATTAAGTAGACTAGTATTAATGTTGAACTTATTGTGGAATAGGTTTTATAATAAATAATGGCGTTCTTTTTTATCAAATATTATTAAAAAAATTACTAATTATTAATTTTTAATAATATTTTTAAAAGTTTGTTACACAAAATATCACTAATTATAAATTTAGAGATCTCAAAAGTTTTACTAAAAATTTTACTAAATGTCTCATATGAGTGTGAGACTCACACCATGTGTGTTCTATGTGGATCTCATACTCATGTAAGACATTTGGTAAAACTTTTAATAAAACTTTTGGATCTCTAGGATTACTCATTATAAATCGGATAAATTATAAATACACCCTAGGTTTATTTAAATTATAAATTACCATGTGGTTCTAGAAATTATATTATACTCCTAAAGTTTTAATTTCATAACAGATAGGTCATTTTATTAATAAATCATCAAGTTAATTAATAGTTTTTAGTAATGTTAAAATTTTATTTCAATTAATAATTTATATAATTTTATTACTGTATAGGTGAATATTTAAAAATTTCACTTTTTCTATTAATTTTGTTAAATAAAAAATTCTGACAGGGAAGTATTTGTAATTTTTCAAACCACAAGGAGTAATTCATATTTTAAGTAAACATCAAGAGTGTATTTTTAATTTACCTATATAAATTTTAGCGACAGTTTAAAAAAAATCGTTACAAAAAGAAGTTGCTAATTTTTACTTTCAAAAAAAATTAACGTTAAGTTTTAGTGATAATTTATAAAAACTGTGAAAAAATGGTCACTAATGATTAATTTTTAGCAACATATGTATAAAATCATCTCAAAAAATTAATTTTATTCACCGATTTTACTAAGATTTATTTTCAATAAGACTTTATATGGAAATTAAGTCTAGATCTTTTGATAGTTTACCCTAAAATCAATATATGCAACTCTTTAAAGGTATATATATATGTGAAATGTAGTGGTTATATGTGAGATGTATACGTGTGTTTATGAGTAATTTTGTGATGTCTCTAAATCCGTTTTGGAAACTATTGATAATTTGAGTGGTGTTTAAGATCTTAATTTTGATTTGTTGTGCATTTTAACTTTGATCTTTTGATTTTGTAATCTTACGAATGATTAGAGTTTTAAATTAATGAAGAAAAATATACAAAATGCAATTCATGAACTATCGATTCCTTCTTTGAATAGTCTGCAAATGTTAGCAAATATATGAAACTGAAATGAAATTAGAATTACATCATTCTAAGTCTGATTTCAATTAAAAAATCTGATGGTGGTGTGGGTTTATGTTTTGTTCTTGTTGATTTTTAGTGAAAATGCATTTGTTAGAAACTAGGAGTAATTCAAAACCAGTTAAGCAGAATTGAAAAACTTGTGTATGAATAGGGTTTAAGGTTTTGATTGATTTTTCTTTAAAAATCTTTGGTTGCGTTTGGTAGAGTTTTGTAAATATGATTTGAGAGTATGAGTTGTATTTTGAGTTTGTGAGCTGTGGAATTATGATTTGAGGGTAGAAAATTTGTTTGGTTATGATTTTTAAATAGAGTGTTGAATTGAGTTTTGAATTGTATGTGGAATTGAGTTTTGAATTGTATGTGGAATTGAGTTTTGAATTGTATGTGGAATTGAGTTTTGAATTGTATGTGGAATTGAGTTTTGAATTGTATGTGGAATTGAGTTTTGAATTGTATGTGGAATTGAGTTTTGAATTGTATGTGGAATTGAGTTTTGAATTGTATGTGGAATTGAGTTTTGAATTGTATGTGGAATTGAGTTTTGAAAGTTTGATTTGACATGTGAAGTAAGAAAATTTGTTTGGTTGTAAGTTTTGGAAAAAGTTTTCAAAACTTAATTCAAATTGTTGTAACTCATAAAAAATACACTACTTTCACACTATTGAAAATTCTGATCAAAACTCATAACCAAACTCTTTTTAAAATTCAATTAATTTTTTTTATTATTAATAGAAAATAACATTAATCAATTTTTTAATTGAAAATACTACATAGGAAATAATTTTTTTTCAAAATAAATATTCAAAAAATTTAAATCATAAATATTTAAATAATCTAAAAAATTTAATAAGTAAAAAATTAAAATAAATATTCAAAAAAATTTA